ATTTGTGTGGAATTCAAATGTGTGGAGGTATGTGGTTCCATCTCTCATGTGCGCATTCACTGAGCAAAGATCACTAAACTTAATAAATAGCCCCAACTGGCATCAATCAGCTGGATGGGGTCCTTTTGATCTACCCGGACATAAACTGTGGGTGCCCAGAAACCTTTGGATGTGCTGGTCTCTAGCAGTGTCTCCCTCAGTGTTTGACAGGAGGAAATGACAGCCAATAACCTACAGGCCTAGGGAACCTTTGCCCCTTGACATCAGCCAGTAGTGTAGCTGTCAGTCCCAGAGCCGAGACCCTTGGCCCTGAAGACGTGAACGCTCTTAGGAACTTTTTGGTGACCAGAGCCTGTGGCTTCTGTGCTCTGGCTTCTGCTATCCTTTTATCAGCTCTTGTCACCTCTCAAGTTCCATTTCCCTTCTTCTTCCTGCCCTGGCCACTCTGGGATTGCTCCTTGGGTTGTCAATGGCTGCTACTTGAGGCAAACGCCCCTGGAGGTACAGGATTAAGAAGCTGGGGTACAATTGGAGCAAGTGCCTGACACTGCTTGGGATGGGGGAACCCAGAGATCCATTAGGAACCAAGTGATGGGTACAGCTGAAATCACACAACTCCTATGGGGACAGGACCCCAAGGGACAGGATCCCAAAGAGAATCAGCAAGCTTTCTGCTACAGTGGTACCATATAGTACTTCCAAACAGATTCAGGCTCATGGGTGTTGTCTGTGGTCGGTCTCAGGCCTCGCTGAGCAACCATTTCCTTGGCTGTCCAGCCGCCAGACCAAGGCCTCTACTACATCATTTCTTCAGCAGTTAAGAAGCAGCCACCAGCACTTTACACTGAGAAGTCCTGGCCTGGGGCTCAGAAGAAAGGAACCCAGAATAGGGGATTGGGAGGCAGGCAGTGTCAGGGAGTGTTGAGTTTGAGTACTGCCTTTAGGGTCTTCGACTATCAGGTTTTGGCCACAAAGCCAGTGTCTTCCCAGTCCCTGAAGCTACTGCCCTACTCTGCAGCATGCTTGCTCAAACTGTGCCCATAGCCATTGTCACCCATTTCCACCATCCTCTGCTGTCCCTGCTGCTTCCTTCATGTTACTAGCTCAACTACCACTAGTTAAGGTAGGCAAAGAAATACCACTTGAGAGTCTCCATTGGACTTGATGTTACAATACTATGGGAGATAGTGCAATAATAACTCCCCCAAATAACTCACTGAAGGAGTCTAAGCAAACTGCTTATACAGCCTGGGAAAGTACGTGTGAACTCATCCATCACATCACTTGTGTTTTTGACCCTTAAGGACCATGCCATTCATCAAAGTCATCCCCCCACCAGAGGAAGTTCTAACCCTCTGACCAAAGTAGAAATGGTTCATCAAGGCGGAAACATTTTTTTAAAGGAAAGAAAAAAATCTTGTACAAACCAAAAATAAAATCTTGGTTTCAAATGGGCCTGGGCTACATCTTCAAGAGCTGAGAAAAGCAGCTGCAAATTCTTGTCTCAAGGTATCTATGGAGTGTTCAAGATTCCTGGTGTGGACACGAGGGTAGACCAGTTGGTCGCTAGGCTGGTAGTTCTTTTGCTCAAGTTGGCCCCAGCAGCAAGAGACTTAAACTGTCTCATACCCAAGTCTCTGCTCACTTACTGGAAAACGCCCATCAGAAAGAGTGCTTATAAATATAAACTGAAAGAAATTATTATTCATATGCTTATAAATATAAACTGAAAGAAATTATTATTCATATCAACATTACTTTTAGTAGACTTTAACAGTGCTTTCTACCTTCCCAGTGTCCAAGTGGGTCCCCCTCATCTGTTTCAAAAATTATGCCCTGCCCAACCTTGTCTTTTTTGTAAAAATATCTTTTAAAGGGGAAAACATCTTGAGAACACTTGGCTTTAGATATTCCTCTTATGTGGGGAAATCTTTCCTGTACCTACAATGGTTTGTCCATTTGCCTAATCCCTCCCAGGCTCCATACTCTCCAAAGTCAGATAATAATATCTTGAGCTTTTCAAGCTGTTCAGTTCTGAGGCTATAGCATAAAGGTTGCCCCAGAAAACACACAAAGTAATTGGGCATGACTGCATTCCAGTATAATTGCATTCATGTTCAGTGAAATTGAATTTAAATTCATATAATTTTTCCTAGTCACAAAATAATCTTTAACGATTTTCTTTTTACCATTTGAAGATGGAAAAAAAAACATTCTTTGCTTCCAGTTCAGACAAAAAATATCAGCAGGCCAAAATGTTGAATGAGCCCCTCCCCTGTATCATGAACAACTCAAGAGTGGGAATAAGGGAGCAGAGTCCTATTTTACCTAAGATTCATTCACTGTGGATACAAAGAGAGGTAGACACCATGGAAGGGGCAGCATGTGCCCATCACAACAAAATATGCCCTGTATAGTTCCAGCATATGGGAAGAGAGAATGTGTGAGTAGGGTTGGGTTGTTTCTTCTGATGACATTTCTGACACCAGCTATGTGAGGGAATTTTCCCTCCACTAATTTCTCCAACTCTCGATAAACATAGTGTCCAAAAACACAATTCAGTTCTGTACCTTGCCTGAAAGTTACAGGACTTAGCCTCACAAGTGTCCCTACTTAAGATAAAAATGAGAAGTGTCATGCCAGCTATACTTCTGACAATAGCTAGAAAGTAGGGGTCCCCACAACCTCTTCCTCAGGTTCTGTTTGTCAAGTGAGCTCACAGAAGTCATAAAGGCACTCCACATACAGTTACTAGTTTGTTATAAGAGATATAAGTGAGTAGCCAGGTGAAAGGTAAGGCAGTCTAGAAGTGCTCCAAGTGTGGGAGTCTTTGACCCTTGGAGTGATGGCTCTTCCCCTTCCAGCACGTGACTCTATGTACCAAATCCAAAGTTCAACAAATGTCATCATTTGGGAATTTGTGGAGCTATTTAAGGAGTTTTCTTATGCAGGTACAATTAATTAAATCATTAGTGATTGATAATTAATTCAATCTCCACACTTTCCCCTTGTCCAGAAGATGGGGCAGCATAATGCTGAATGTTCCAAGCTTCTAATCAAGGTGAGGTATCTCTGATGACTAGCCCCCATCCTGGTTCTCATGGCTCCGTGAAAGTGGCTTCATTAAAACAAAGCATGCTCCTACTATCCTTCCCACTCAGAAAATTCCAGGAGTTAACAACTCCGTGCCAGGAATCAGGGACAAGGACCAAATATCTTTCTTATGATCTATCACAAGTAGCTAATAACACCACTTTGAATAACGGGTGAAAGTCCCAATTCCACCATTTCTTTGCTTGGCCTTGGGCAAGACACGGAACAGCACGGTGTGTTTGTCTGCAAGGAACAAAAAGAGAGCTTGCAGTTGTCAAAAAAAAATCTTAACACAGTGAGTTCAAGGCTGGTACAGTAACTCAGCATTGCAACAAGGTCACACCTTTGTGTCCCCTGCTCCTGACATCTAGGACCATCCACTTTCCTCATTGTACCTGTCATTTACGGTGGAAAATGGTGCCTGGGGCTTCAGTTATCACACTCAGACACGGTTAAGCCACAAACAGGCACAGAGGGGTTGCCAGCTGCACACCTCCCGCTGTCCCTTCTCTCAGGAAGCAGCCAGCGTCTCACCTGAAACTCCCGTACATGTTCTCATGTCCAGATATGGGTTTTATGGTCACGCCTAAGTGCAAGGTCAGTCTTTATGTGAGGAAAGGGAGGAGGGGACTGAGAGTGGGTTGGGGAGTGGTCCTTCACGGTCTCTACCTGCAGACTGCTGTGAGGACCAGGGAAACAAAGTGCATGAGATAGAGACACATATGTACTCAGTCGCTGCAGCTCCTACTATTAGTCAGACAAACATGTCTTTTCAAAGCCATGAAGTTTCTCGCCTGCCAGTGTGAAAACCTCAAACCCTCACTTTAGAGTATGCCGTTTCATATCCAGTTAAAGTAAATTCAGTGTGGTGTGTATGTTTATCAGGGTACATGTGTGTGTATATATAGGTGTGTATTGATGTGTTTATCTATATAACTATGTGTATATATGTGTATGTGTGTATAGTCATGTCTCAGTGTATATGTGTTTTTATATGAGTATGTGCCTTTGTGTGTGTATGTATATGTGTATATGCATGCATGTGTGTGTTGCATATGTGTATGTATATGTGTATGTATGTTTGTATGGTATGCATATATGTGTGCATATTTTGTTACTGGCGTATATTATTTAACATAAAGCTGACTATACCCCCATACATCTGCATGAGGAATAAATGAGTATATGTTGGTAATGATAGATGTGCTTATACCCTGGGTGTTAAATCAGCAAACTCACACACTCTCTTCAGACTGAAGGCCTGAATCACCTTCACTCCTCCTCTCCCTTCTCCTAGTCAGTCAACAGTGCTGCAGACCGGGCGCTACAATATGTCTGCCGTTGTTCTCACTCTCAGAGCCCAGGCACAACTTTTTATCACCTCTTTTCCAGATGAAAGCAGTAAAACCCATTAGCATTCTGGTCCCCACTTGTTCTGTCTCCTCCCAAAGAACTCCATTCTCACCTTCTCGCCAGAGTTATCTTCCTGAAGCAAAGCTCCAAATACCTCATTTTCTTGCTCAAAAAATTTTAAAGGTTTCTTCTTGCCTTTAAGGTAATATTATTCAAAGTGTTCCTGCCACAAGCCCTCTCCTGCCTTCCCTCTCCTAACACATTTGACTGAGAAACAGCTCAGCGGTAGAGCACCTCCTGGGCTCAGTCTCTAGCACTAGAAAAATGTATTCTGAACAAATCCCTCCCTCTGCTTTTCCTGCATTTGTCCCAATTCATCTCAACTCCTCTGGACCCCACCTGTAGTGATGGCAGTACTTTCCACTCTAAGCTACACTGACGCTCTGCCTTGTTCAAGACTACAGGGAGACCATGATTTTGTGGACTATAATTTGTGTAAAAGTATCTGATTAAATCAATAAGACAGTCAATAACTCCTTCTGATATTTTCCTAGTTCTGGGACGTGCTGACAACTGACAATTTGAACTGGATGTGCTCCATCAAACACTCTGGGAAGAAGACAAGTTTGTCTGGGCCAGCAGGCTCAGCCTCTGGAGTGGACACACAAGGGGCCCAGCTGGGGTTCAGCTTGGTTCTTCCTTCCTCTTTATAGCAATGTGCTCTGTGCTGCTCCAAGGAGAAAGGAGCCCTCAGGGCTGGCACCAGGCATTGTACTAGATATGTACCATTTCCTTGTCCAGTTAAGCTCTTCAAGGTAGGCATTCGAGCTGGGTTTTTTGTTTTTTGTTTTTATTTTTTAGCAGAGATGAGTATGTTCTGAAGGTCACAGAGATGAGACTCTAAAACAAACCTGACTCTGAAATGTCAATCAGAGCACTTGAGATCATACACAGGGAACTGAATTTGGACTAGGTCCTGGGCAAATGCTCCCGAATACATTAAGGCAAGGGCTGCTCAACCTGTGGAAACCACTGTTGGACAACAGCACTCACAAAAGCTTCTAACTTCATTCTCCCCATTCAGACCTGGAAATAAGTCTTAGAAAGCAAAGGTCAGTCATAATCCCTCACCTGACTTGGGTGTGCTTTGTTTTGTTTTGTTTTGTTTTGTTTTGTTTTCACTATTAAAGCTACTCCCATCTCTCAGCAATGCTGCCCTTTACATCTTTGGCATTGTATTGTTATCTCATGTTTACATACCTAGATCACAAAACCTAGGTGATGGTACTCAGTTCTTTCCAAGGAATGGAATAATTTTGAGGCAACGTAAAAGTCATGAGTATATACTACAAGGTGTGAACTCTTGGATCCACACTAATCTACCACACCATTCCATCAAACAGGTAGGTACATCTTCTGACTTTCCATTGGGCTGTGTTTTCATCAGCAATCAGAAACCCATAGTCAGCCATGCACTACCAGAGCATTTGAGTGGCCGAGATATTTCAGTCGTATTCTAGGCTTCCACAATCTCAAGCAGAGGAGAAATACACACACACACACACACACACACACACACACACACACACACACAGAAAGAGAGAGAGAGAGAGAGAGAGAGAGAGAGAGAGAGATCTTTGAAAAGTAGGAATATATTTATTGAATACCTACTGTGTTCTAGGCTCTGTGATAAGTAAATTTATTGACACCATTGACTCAGCTGAACTGAGACCCCCAATAACCCTGTCACTAGGCCCTCTGAACATTCTCATTTTTTCAGACCTAAAGGTCAGAGTCCAAAAGAAATCCACATAGCAAACAGAAGAGCTAGGATTCGATCAAGATGCAACCTAAGCCCATGTCCAGACAGAAGAAAGAGGTGTCACGCCAGACAGAAGAAAGAGGCAGACACAGAGAACCATAGAAGTGTGAGAGGTATTGGAGATCCGCCGTGCTCCACACACAAGAGCAATGAACTGGGTTCCCAAGCTTGTGTAGAAGTCTACCAAGTGTTTAAGTTGATGGAAAAATGCATGGGTAGTCAGATGAAAATAAAGGAAATGAGAGGGTAGGGTGCACTGTGTGGTAGAGAAGAAAAAGTCAAAGAGGAGGGGGGGCCATGTTTTGGGGGTGATAAAAAAGTGTTGTTGCCAGATAAGGGAAATTACATACCTTGTCTTTGGGGACTGGGGAGTCCTATGCAAGATGTAGTCTGATTGAACTTGAGCTCTGAAAAGAATGATTTGGTCGGAGAGTAGAGAAGATTGACTTGAATACGACAGTCAAGGGACTAAGTGTGAATGCACCCAGGACATCAGGGCTGCCAGACTGAGAAGCAAGCCCTTCGGACCTGCACAAACTGTAGAGAGCATGCTGGAAGCAAAGCTGTGTCGACGGCCCCTGCTCAGGGCCAGCATGCACTGCCACGCTGGAGAGAACATCCAAGGACATGGATGATTTTACATTTTTAAAAGAAACTTTGACTTTTAAAATCCAGGGTCCCTTTGATGTTTGCCATCCCCAGTACTGTCTAAACTCTAGAATTAAATACAGAATGGTCCTCCTGCTGCATGTGGAGATGGGGGGGATTCAGATGGCGCAGCATCAGCCAGCAACCCAGTTCAGTATATAAAACCTGCTTGTCCACATGTAATCCAGCCATAGGCACATATGTAGAACACACAAATATATGTGTGTATTTATACACGTGTGCAAATTCATGTGTATACATGTTTGTGTGTACATGTACACAAGTACACAAGAGGCAGCTGCGGCCACACTGAACCACAGATACGCCATACCTCAGAGTTGCCAGGTCCCTCAGGAACCCTGGGCTCCTGCACGCCCCTTTCACATTGTTCTTGGAAACAGAAAAGTGGCTTGCAGCTTGTGGTCAAACACAAGCTTCCTCTTCAAGGTAGCTTCCCATCTCTTGACAGACCTCTGAATCGTCCCTAGGAAAGAGGCCAAGGAGGTGTACAGTGCAGGTTTAATGTTGCAGCTACGACTTCAACCCATCTTACTATCTGGTTGTTTCAAAGAAAGGAACCCCGTCCCCCTCCCCTTCTTCTTATCCTTCCCACTGTTTTCCCTCCCTCTTCCTCTCTGTCTCCCCCATTTTCTCTGACTAGTTTCCTGAGTGCAAAGCGCACACTCCTTTGAATGGTTCCGATTCCCCATCTGCTATTCCATTTCCCTCCAGTAGAAATGCTCCATTTCCTCCCATTGACCAGCTCTTCACAAGGGATGCTATGAACTCTCCTGCTCTGTTTCTTAATTATTTAATGTGTTTGCAGTCAATGTTCTGAGCCTGGAGAGAGTGCTGTGTAGGGTCCCTGAGTGCTTTAAGAGTACTCTCCTGGAAGCCAAAGCCTCTCCCAAGGCCCTCAGGTGGGGGTAAAATCCTCTGGTTCTCTCACACCTGACCCTGAAGCTCACCATTCTGGTTTAGCGTGTTCTTTTTAATTTCTTTATTGATTTTACATTCCAGCTGCAGTTTCCCCTCCCTCCTCTCCTCCCAGTCCCTCTCCGCATCCTTCTCTGCTTCCATCCCCCAATCCACTCTTCCTCCATTTCTGTTCAGGAAACTGGTCTCCCATGAATATCAACAAAACATGGCATATCAAGTTGCAATAAGACTTAGCACCTGCCCATGTTTTAAGGCTAGGCAAGGTGATCCTGTATGAAGAGTAGGATCCCAAAAGCCAGTAAATGAGTTGGAGACAGCACCTGCTCCCACTGTTAGGAGTCCCACAAGAAGACCATGATACACAACTGTAACATATATGCAGAGTGCCTAGGTCAGTCCCATGTAGGCTCCCTGGTTGTGAGTTCAGTCTCTGTGAACCTCTATAAGCCCAGGTTAGTTGATTCTGTGGGTTTTCTTGTGGTATCCTTGACCCCTCTGGCTCCTACAATTTTTTCTCCCTGTCTTCTGCAGGATTCCCCCAGCTCTACCCAATGTTTGGCTGTGGGTCTGCATCTATTTCCACCAGTTGCTGGATGAAGCCTCTCTGGTGACAACTGAGCTAGGCACCGATCTATGAGTCTAGGCATCATTACATTGACATCATGACATTTTCCCCTCCAGTCGTGTTTTGTTCTATCCTAGGTCTCTGGGCCATCCAGCCTATGGTTCTTGGTGCTCCAGTCAAGGGTGGGCTTATTCTCTTGGTATGGGTTTTAGCTAGACCAGCCATTGGTTGACCACTCCCTCAATCTGTAGGCCACCATACCCCAGCATATCCAATAGGGAGGACAGAGTGCAGATTGAAGGTAATGTGGCTGGGTTGGTGTCCCACTCTCTCCACCTGAAGTCTTACCTGGTCACAGGAAATGGCCAGTTAGGCTACATATCCACTATTGCTAGAAGTCTTAGCAGGGGTCATCCTTGTAGATTCCTGGGAGATTCCCTTGTGCCAGGTTTTTACCTGACCCTGAAATCCACCTCCTCCCTTTCCAGTAGTATCTTTCAATACTCCCCCACCCCTGCCCCTACAACCTGATCTCTCATGTTCCCATCGCCACCTGCCTGAAGTCCATTCACGAAATCTCTTCTATTCCCCCTTCCCAGGGAGATCCAAGAGTCCCGCCTTGAATCAATAGCCTAGGGCTTGGTTCAGTATAGCTAAAGTTTTTCTGCCTGGCCCACAGTCAGGACAAATCTCTCTCACCTGCCAGTCCCACAGCAGCTCAGACCTGACCAAGTAAACACAGAGACTTATATTGCTTACAAACTGTATGGCTGTGGCAGGCTTCTTGCTAACTGTTCTTACAACTTAAATTAATCCATTTCTATAAATCTATACCTTGCCACATGGCTTATGGCTTACCAGCATCTTCACATGCTGTTTGTCATCGTGGCGGCTGGCAGTGTCTCTCTGACTCAGCCTTCCACTTCCCAGCTTTATTCTCCTCCTTGTCCCGCCTATGCTTCCTGCCTAGCCACTGGCCAATCAGTGATTTATTTATTGACCAATCAGCAACACATTTGACACACAGACCATCCCACAGCAGTTCAGATAAAGTTTCTAGCTAGATCTTTTGCTGTTCTAGAGTATATCTCTAACTTGTAGTAGCTCATTTCATATTATGGCAGCAATAAACAATCCAAGCACCCTTTTTCTGATCTGTCTTTGTGGGTATCTTTGTGTATCATTAACAAAAGTTGTTTGCACTTCAAATAATTTGGCAAAACTGTTTGTAAAACCTGCATGAGTTTGGAGCTCTGTGGTAGAGTGCTTACCTAGCACTCACAAGGCCCCAGGTTCAAGTCCCGACAACAACAACAACAACACACACACACACACACACACACACACACACACACACACACACACACACACACATTTGTGTATTCGTGTTCCCAGAGCTAGTAAATTAGCCACCCAACAAATATACAGTGTACCTACTGTGTGCAAAGCACAACTCTGGAGCAAGGACAAGCAACTCCTTTACCTATTTTGTAAATAAAGTTTTATTTAAAAACATCATCGTTCATTTAAATATGATCTAGGCTTTGCAGATGCCGCTGTCCCCTGTCACCACTTGCTGCAGCCATGGTCAACCCTACCGTGTTCTTCGACATCACGGCTGATGGCGAGCCCTTGGGCCGTGTCTCCTTTGAGTTATTTGCAGACAAAGTTCCAAAGACAGCAGAAAACTTCCCTGCCCTGAGCACTGGAGAGAAAGGATTTGGATATAAGGGTTCCTCTTTTCACAGGATTATTCCCGGATTCATGTGCCAGGGTAGTGACTTCACACGCCATAATGGCACTGGTGGCAGATCCATCTACGGAGAGAAATTTGAGGGTGAGAACTTTGTTCTGAAGCCTACAGGTCCTGGCATCTTGTCTATGGCAAATGCTGAACCAAACACAAATGGTTCCCAGTTTTTCATCTGCACCACCAAGACTGAGTGGCTGGATGGCAAACACGTTGTCTTTGGGAAGGTGAAAGAAGGCATGAACATTGTGGAAGCTGTGGAGCGTTTTGGGTCCAGGAATGGCAAGACCAGCAAGAAGATCACCATTTCCGACTGTGGACAACTCTAATTCTTTCGACTTGCAGACTTCTTACCCACCAGACCATTCCTTCTGTAGCTCAGGAGAGCACCCTCACCCCATCCGCTCACAGTACCCTGTAATCTCCGCTCTCACTGAAGTTCTCTGGGTTCCATATTCTCCTCATTCCCTTCCCAAGTCTAGTTGGATTGCAGAGTTAAGTTTATGATTATGAATTAAAAACTAAGTAAGAACCGTTAAAATATATATATATGATCTATAACTATTGTCAAACTAAAATGACACAGAGTACTGGCACCAGAGACCTTATAGCCCAAAACCAATGAAGTGTGAACTTCTGGACCTGTGCCACACGCCAGGCACTTTACAGTAAACTCTCTGGCTTCTGGCTCTCGTGGTGTTCATTGTAAAGCTCTACTTGGACCTCTTGCCAGCGCTCCAAAACGTTTTGACTGTCTCCAAATGCCGTTACACTATTCTTTAATATCCTCAAACAAACCTCTTTTCCTACAGTGCCTCTTGTTATTTTAAGGTGTCACTGGCCCCTAGATCCTGGATCTTGGCCACCTTGGCCTTTCCTGAGCTGGGCATGAAATGATCATGAGTTCCTTTTATACATCCCTCAGATCTGTCCCCTCTCCTCCTTAGTGTTGTCACACCAACCTGCGTCTCCTGTGTGGACCACTGAAGATGGTGTCCTTTTCCACCCACGGAGTTCATTCCTAATGAAGAGCCAAATGCTGCCAAGCTGAGGTGTGCAAGCGGCACAACCTTCAGAGCAGGCTTCCAGCTCTAGTAGAGTGACAGTGTTGTCAGTGTTGTCTGTGTTGCTCGTACTGTGCCCCAGGCAGAGTTCCAGATGCTAATAAAGCTCTGTCCTGCGACCCTCATTATAAACTTAGGAGGCAGGCACACTCTCACCTCCAAGCTACTGATGGAGAAATCAAGACTTGATGAAACTGAGTAAGGTACCCGAGGTCACCAGCAAGCAACATATGGAGCTGGGAGGCAAACCCAGGCAGCTGGCCCAAGCCAATGCTTTTTACCACACATTTGTGCTGACTCTGCTTTCCTCAGCTTTGTCTGTCCTGCTAGGGTCACCAACACAGAAGCCAAAGTCCGATCATATGACAACTTCCTCACAAGCTGGACCACTTGTTAAAAGAACATAGAGAATTCTCCTGAGCAGAGCTCACCTGGCTCATGGGGCCTCTCCTTCTGTATCAGGAGTGAACAGCAGGGCCCCTCACCAGGAGGAAGTCTACCCACGCAGCAGGGCTGCCCTTGTGGAGAATTTTGGGATGGGGCTGAGTAGCTAGAGCAATTACAACCCTAAGCAAGCTTTCTCCTGCATTTGTCTGAGATGAAATCCATTATTGAGTTACCTCTCTGCTCCTAGATCTGTCACTCGACAAGCTTTTATCATGAATAGCAACACACTTAAATATTCAGCAAGCACCCTGCAGAGCACTAAATACTGAAAGCACATACAAAAGGTCACGCTTGCAGTCGCCTCCCTCCTCCCTAGAACTGACAAGAAGACCCCAATGCTGCACTCTTGAGAAAATAGAGCTTTACATTTAAAATATAGGATGTTTTGTCCTGGTTTTTTGTTTTGTTTGTTTTGTTTTGCATGGTTGACTTTCTCTTGTCTTTGGGTAAAATCAGAAGGAAAAGGCAAATAAAATGATGTAGTTGATTCAATTCATTTGTACCAAACGTGTGGAGTTTGCTTTACTGCAATCTCTGTCCTTGACATTGAAAGGAATAAACAGGATTGTCAAATAACTCCTACCCTCAAGAAGCTATCAATGAAGGATAAATTTCAACCAGTGGGATAAATTATATGTTTACATAAATACAACACTGTTAATAGTATATCCTTCCATTTCTGTTCCTAACAAAATACCCAAGGCTGGGTATTTTATAAATAAAATAAATTGGTTCAGCTCACAGTGGAAGCTGGAAGTATACTGGTCCCATCAATTTGGCCTCTAGTGGGCACCCCTGTGGCTCATGATAATACTACAGATGTCTTCATGGAGGGGCACAAGAAAGAGAACTGAGAGGGTGGTCACATGGTGAAGCAAGAAGCCATTGACCAAAGAGACATAAGTCTTCCTCATTTATAATAACTTACTCGTAGAGGGACTAAGGTACTCTACAAGACTAGCTAGCATTAACCCTTTCTAGGACTGTTTCTCCCAGTGACCTCTTAAGGAGTCTATTACCTTTTAGCATCTTCAGACTAGGGACTAGGCTTCCAAAACATTAACCCTGATGAGAACAAGCCATCTCCAAACCAAAGCAACTCTATCGTTTCCATAAAGAACAAACATAAGGGAAACAGCAGTAAAAGCTGCTCACTGGGCCCTGTGAAGTCTCCTGCCGTCACATGTAATTCTCACTGCAACCCTGTAAGGCAGGGATTACTAGCTTCATATTACAAATAAGAAAATTAAAGGCATACAGAGAAATTAGATAACCTTCCTTAGAAGTAGAAAACTGGGATTTAATCCTGTATTACTCAGACTCCAAGGCCTATTGTTTGGTCCCAAAGAGTGAATAAAATGATAATGGTGATCATTCAGGCTGGTATATCCCAAACACAGGGAAGAATGTGAAAGAATGCCCAGGAACTGGGGGTATAGGTTGGATGCCAGTGGTAGAAGGCAGAGGATATGAAACATCTTGGGCAGCTGGGGAGCATGTGATGGCCACTGACTAACTACAATGGTAGCTTCCACCAAACATATGACTTCTTAGAACCCAAAAATGGCCTTCAAAATCTCTAACTTTTTCTGATTTCTAAACCAAATCATGTCCCTCTCCCTCAAGACTGCTTCTATCATCTTTGTAGCACAACAGAATCTTGCACAGTGTTGAAGCGAGCAAACATCGACTTCCAGGGCTGAGCATTCGTCCTTGGAGCTGTTCTTCATACTCTGATGACAGAGCTAGCAGGGACTCTGCAGCCCTCTAGCTAATCACTCCTCCCTCCAAGAGGGTAGTTATTGCCTTGCATCTGTGCCTCATCAAAGGAGAACCAAATCAGTCTGTGGGCATTCTACTGGGATTGGGATGTTGCTTGTGTGTTGCATTAATAGAGTGTTTGAAGTTCAGTCTTCAGACAGTTGCTTCCATTTGTTGTACTTTATCCTAAGAAGAGATTTAGAGCATCAGCAGCAAGGAAGAGCAGTGTGAGCCTACTTACCAAATGAAAAACAGAGTGATAAGAGGCAGGGCAGGAAAAGGAGAGCCAATCCATGTTTTCCATAATACCATACACTTCCACATTGTCTAGAGATGGTGTCTTATGAGCAAGAAGACTCAAGGTGATTGGGAGGGAATGAACATGAATGGATCGGCAAGCTTCCAGAACTCTATAGAATTGTGTTGAGCATGACCTTTAAAGGCCAAAAAGACTCACATCATGAACTCACTGAAGGAAGAAACAAAAGAGATCAGTCTCTCATTTTAAATCTGGAGAAGGTGAAGCCAGGGGATTGCCAAGACTTAACCAAGGTCACACAGATGGAACAGAGGGACGTGCTCTGAAGTGCCCTGATTTCCAGTCCAGGGTCCATTCATAACATGATGCCTTCTGGGAAAATTTGACTGAGCAAAGAGCAAAGGTTTAAAAGTTCAGAAACTGACTGTGAGGAGGCCACTAGGAAGACAAAGAATAATGGGAAGTGGGCTTTGAAGAGGGACAGACAGGACAGCAGAGGACACGGCAGGGAGTGTGGGGTGCCCTCTACCTGTCCAGAATGTGCCAAGTCTGGCATCTCAGTGTCTGAAAAAGAAGTAATCAGATTCTTGCCCTAAATATTGCTATGACAGTAAAATTAAATCCCCCTTCCTGGAAGAAATGTAAGCCCTTATAGGGACAAGAAATCTAAACCTTTGTGGCCAGGTTAACCATTTTTTTTAAACCAGCATGCTCCTTGAAAGGTTGAAGAGAAAAAGAAGCAGCATCCTCCTCTTGCCTCCTCCTCAAGGATGGATGTTTCCTGCTGGCAGTTATAAACATTGATGAAGCACCCTAAGGGCTTCATCCCTGGCAGGGTAGCCAAGCTAGGAGACAGAATGGGAGGTATCAAATCCAGCTTCCCTAGAGCCTTATCCACGCACCAGTGAGGGCAGCATCATGGGAGTCCTGAGTCACCTCCCTAATCAAGCCCAGGTCACTGGCCCATTGCCAAGCTCCCTCAGTCTGAATGGAATGAAGGCTCTAAAACGATGCAGGCAAAGGCCACAGCGAACACTGGAACATTTCTAAAATGAGTCCAGATGAAAGGCATAGAGCCCGTGCTCAACACAACACGATGCCATGGACACAAAGCATGCATGAAAAGGAAAATGAACATGTTTGGGTCCAGTTAGTAGAGCGGTGGGTGACTTTCTCATCTTTTGAACAATCTTCGTTAGAATTACACGTGAGACTTTCTCATCTTTTGAACAATCTTCGTTAGAATTACACGTGAGACTTTCTCATCTTTTGAACAATCTTCGTTAGAATTACACGTGAGACTTTCTCATCTTTTGAACAATCTTCGTTAGAATTACACGTGACTTCAACAGTAGACAAAAATGTTTGCAATAACTTTTTCACCTGTGCTTGCCTTTAGATCCAATCCACACCAACATACATCGAGCCAGTGAAAGGGATAGGCGAGCTTTTCTATAGCACTTACCCAACCCTCCATCTCCCTATCTCATTTTATATCCTGAATTATCTCTGTCAAATCTAATTCCTTAACCATGGTCTCAGACACTACTGGTTTTCTCCTTCCTTGCTACCACCTACCTCCTCCAAATGCAGCTGATATTGAGCTGTTCCCAGTGCTCAGCAGTGCAGCAAATTTCCTGACAAAGGAAGGTCCTTGCAGAGATGGGTTGTCTTCCTGGATATCATATTTGAAATATATTGTTTTCTCAATTCTGGGTCTTCACACATGCTAGTCAAGCATTCTACCAAGTCCCCAAAACAATGTATTTGCTTGTAGTCAGACTGGCTCCAAAGATTGCCACTGTCAATGCCTTTAGAGCCTCCCTGTGTCTGGACTGGTCTTTGTGACCTACTCAACCAATAAAATGTAGTGATATGCTATGGATCCTACAGCTAGGTAATAAGACGCTTGCAGCTCATTATTGGCTCTTCAGAATGCTCACTGATGGATATTCCCTTTGGGAAGCCAGCTGCCATTCTGTCAAAAACCCAAGCCACGTGGAGAGGCCAAGTGTTATAAGCTGGTCCTGTCCAACACAAGTGTGGGTAATCCGGCAGCTGACATCAGCTGTCCTCAATGTGAGTGCATCTTGGATATCTGCCCAGTCAATCCTTCTGATGACTCTAGCCCCAGCATCTATACAATGAAACCTGCATGAAAGACCTCAGACAAAAAAACACCCAGCTGAGCTTAGCGTGTCCACAGAACCAAGAGAGGCAACAGCTTGGCATCTTAAGACACTGAGTCTGGAGGTTCTTTCTAATGTAATTGATTAGGACAGTGTTTTAAAAGACATTTCACCAAGTAAAGCCATAGAGAATTTCTGTTTCTGTGGTCCTTGATTTGGTGAAAGATTCTAGGAGTGAATGGCACTTTTCTGGTTGATGGTTTCATTCATCATTCACTTGTTAATTTGTACTCTGTAGAAGGTCTCGTGCCAAATGCCATTGGCACAGCAAGGTGGATCAAAGCAAGCCCATGCAAAAACTCTACTTCATCATAACAAGGGACGGCTCTACAACTGATTAGAAAGCAAAGATTTGAGCGAAAGCTACAAGTAGTAAGGTTGGCTGAGCCCTGAACCTGTAACAGCACTCCTTAGGGGACAGACAGCCTCCTGGGCTGCCGCTAGGAGACGGTTCACAAAGGGCGGGCTCATGTGATCTACAGTCTTCACCAAAGACTAGCCATCAGTTGCTCAAAGCTGAAAGCTTAGTGCCTTGCAGAGACCAGGACTAAATAAATCTCTAGGGGATCCAAAGTGCATGTTCTTATACTTAAAGTGCAGACCCAATGCATTTAGACACTTCAGTAAAGGCCACACATACATCACCCATAAACATTGATAGACCCAGGAAGGCATTAGGTGGAGGAGCTCAGGCATAGCTCATAGCTAATGGATGAAAAAAAAAGAAAAAGAAAAAAAAAGCCCTTTTCAAGCTCTAGGGATAGGCTCAGGTTGGAACTAGACAATGGTCACAGGTTTGTTGCTCCCAAAGCTGACCTGGGTTCCCGACTTTGCTGGTAGCCTGCAGTCTCAACTTCCTTGGTGAGCTGATGGAAGCAGGAGCTGGTTCTCGTATCCACGTCATCAACTTCAAAGGTATCCACAAGATTTAGATGGAGTTCTAATGGCCTAAACATCTTTCTGGTGGTGGGCTTGACTCAAGAGTGAGAACAGGCCTCAGATGACCATGCAGAGGACCTGGAAATGCAGTTTTCAAGTTTCTGTCATAGATCCTGTCTCTGAGATCAGGCTTTGTTAGCGCATGCTAAAATGTAATACATGTTGATTTAGCCTCACGAGTAAAATACTGGAAAGGGGGACACTCCAGATTTTCATCCCCATTTTCTTCAGAAGGCAATGTCCCTTTACTTTACAGCATCATAAATTCTCTTCAATGAGTTGGAAAAACAATGTTGAGCTTCTCGTCAATATTTAAACAGCTCACTAAGAGCCTGTACTTTACTCTACACAAGAGGCCGCAAAGCTCATGACAAAATGAATTACTAGCTGGCCAACTGACAAGTTGAGTGTTCTCAAGCTTTTAATTTGAGGGGACACTAGCAGTTTCATTTAGGAGAACATAAAATTTCACAGGGATGAAGGTCCTACAGCCTATGTTTGAGATGTGCCGTCCTATCCACCACCAGTATTTTCCTGGCACAGGAGTTAAGGTCTAGAAAGGACATCATGTGCTAGCACTTGTGTGGATAGCCCATTCAGTTCAGCTACCACGCCCTCTCACCTTGTTCTTTATGGAGCTGAGACAGCCCCCATGAATCACCTCTCTCTCTCTCCCTCTCTCTCTCTTGCTGACCCTCCATATAAAATTTAAAGAAGAAAACGCTGCCAGGGTACACACTCCTCATCATTTCTGACATGCAGGAAACGGTGGCAAAGTGGAATCTTAAGTAAGGCTGACTTTGGACCCCTGTCCCCACCTTGTGAGGTACATCCTGACGCATGCCCAAAGACAGTTCCCTCCTTTCTCTTTTGAGCTGGTGAGCTTGGCTAATCAAGAGAAAGACTTAATTGGGGGAAAGGCAAGGGTGAAGGAGAGCCCCATGCCTCATTCCAAGAGTTAAGAAAGAGGCAGGAGAGCTTGGACACTGAAGCATGACAGCCTAGGTTTGAGTGCCAGCTCTGTCACCTACTGTCAGTGTGAAGGAGGCAAGCTCCCTAACATCTCTTTCACAGGTTCCCTCATATGTAAGCAAGGAGAGTGACAGTTCTCACCACAGGGGGATGCTGGGATGTTAAATGATGTCACACTTCTCAGCACATGCTTTAGATCTGCCATAATGGCAGAGTTTCCGTAGCTGCCAAAGTGACCATGAAATAGAGCCGATTCCATACCCACTGACATCCTAGCCGCAAGAGTGCACCTGGGCAAAAAGAATAAGTGTTTTTAGGTCTTTTCTTGGGAATTCCAAAAGTCATGGACATCTCCCCGACTTACTCCTGAGTCAGGACATGGAAACAGAAAATAAGGAAGTGGTGGGTAAGTCTACTGCACACAGGCAGGAACGGCCTGCTCCAGTCCTGGTTTGCAACATGTTTGTGAGTCTACAGAGCTTGTCCAGAATACCTCCACGGTCCCTGTCCACCCTAACACTTAGAGCCCACACATGAAAATAGGCACTGAACTCATGGCTGCCCTTTGAGAATTGGAATGTGTGGCATCTCAGCCTCTCTGCCTGGATCTGGAGCCTCAGAGCCATTTGTCTCCCAAGTCTGGGTTCTTTCCAGATCAGCGCTGCCTTAGCTCATATTTGCCTCTGCTTCTGCCCTAAGATAAGATGTTGGCACTGAACAGGCTGTTCCCTGTCATCCTCCTTGCTTCTGGAACCCCCATCTTCCTAGGTACCTAGAACCTTCTAGGACACCACAGATCACAGCCCATGGATCATTTCCTTTTGTTTTCCTGAGCTTAGGTCTTTTCATGGAAAACTCCAACATAAAACTGTACTTATTCTTCTGCCCTTACCAAAATAACAGCACATATTTTCTAGGTTGTCAGCTCGCTGAGCTGTCAAAGACACTTGAGAGGAATCAAATGTTCTCCATGGATGATGTGGCCACACACCTCACACTCTCTCATTCACTCTGCTCTTTAAATCATTGCAGATGAAGAGTCAGGAAATATAGAAGATGAGCGTGCAGGAAGAGAATTTTATATGCACTTACCTATCATTTCTCCAGTTGAAGCTTCGGCCTTTAACAATCCAGTAGAGTCCCAGTTCTTCAACAATCCAGTAGAGTCCCAGTTCTTTAACAATCCAGTAAAGTCCCAGTTCTTCAACAATCCAGTAGAGTACCAGTTCTTATTCTCATCAAGGTGAATAATGCATTTAGCAACCGAAAGGTCAGTCTGCAGCTCTGCTGACCCCACTTTCCAGATCTCCTGTCTCAGCCATTGTTAGTGCCACAATTGGTGATAGATGGGGACACAGTGTGGCATGCAGCTTTGACACAGGAATGTGATGGTCTTATGCAGGGAGTATCCCTGGATGCCAGGCAGGTAGGCAATCATCTCATCATGTCAGAAGCTCTTGTCAGGCATCACCTGGCTTCTTGATGTTGTCTCCACCTTCTAGGCTCCCCTAAGGAATAGGTTCAATGGAAAAGAACAACACTGTTTTTTACTTATTAGAAATATTTCCTACCAAGTTAGAACGCTTTGATAAAATACATAACATGAATATTATTTTGAATTCTCTTAGTTGACATATTAGAATGGGCTATCTGTTGATATCTCATAAACGTAAATATGAGGTATGATTGGATGCTTTTGGTTCTTACCACAGAGATGTTCCTAGACATTTTGGGAATCTTTTGAAAGCTATCAACTGCTCTCTGTAAAAATGCATCCATGAAACCCTTTTGCCTACAGTTTGCATGTTTTCATGGCTTTCCCAGAGCCTCTTCAGGAGCTTCCCTGCTTTTCCTGCACACAGTGTCTATAGAGCGAGGCTGGCCACCCTATGTTGGTTCTCAGCCCTGGTCTTACCCTAAACACTTCCCTGTTCTTTCCTTGCATTGTTATAACATTAGGGTTCCAGAAAAATCACTCCCTACCAAAGTGATAGTTTAGAACCTGAGATATAGCAAATGTTTGGCATCCAAAGCCCACATGGGTTTTCCTAATCATAGCTTTAACTGCCCTAGCAAAGGTTTCCTCCAATTTAATGAAACACAGACTTTATTTTGCTTTCTCCCTTCACCGCTTTAGAGCCTATTTATCTTGATCCTGTAACTAGGAAGACGAAAAGAGAAAATTATCAATGGTTAGAAAGGTCGTATTGATGTTCACAAAAAAAAAAAAAAATGTGGTTTGGATTCCTCTGATTGAGGAGTTAATTTTTCCTTCTCTTTTGACCAAAATGTTTTGAAGTTTCTACAAGCCTTTCCAATCAGCTGTGTGAAATGGGGGTCTGCATACTCAGCCTTTCTCATCAAAGACTCACCCCTGTTAAGCCGTCTTACCTCCAGTATACACCTCTAGCACCTCCACCCTCAAGAGGGACAACACACCTTTAACAGATCACAGAAGGCGCCTTAGATTCTTCCCAGAGGTGAGGACAGGAACTCAGAGACTCCATCCTTACTACATTCCTTAACTACCCTTGGTTTCCCAGGTGACCATCTAGCCTTTCTCTGTATCTTCCTCGGTCTGGTATGTGGGTTTGGGGCACTCTCTTGCTACATTTGGGACAGCTAGCTCCCACGAGTGGAAATGCCAGCCAAGGCACTATCTAAAAAAACACTGAGTAAATGTTAGCAGGCATCTTCGCCAGCATGGGGCAGGAACTGCAAGGGGGGCTGAACGAGCTTGGGGATGTGCTCTTTGACGACAGGCATCAGCTGCTCAAGTTCCTACCACATGCTCTGTGTGGCTACCCACGTCAAAGCCTGCATATGTATACCCTGTGCCCCACCCACCGTCACCAATACGTGGATCTTGACACCTCTATGCCAGTACCACTGGTGGCAATACAGGTAGGCTCTGTATAAATAAATAAATAAAACGACAAGTTAAAATCAGAATTTTACAACGTTTTTGCTGCTCTGTTACGGTCGGTTCTGGGACTGAGTGTCTGCTTCTCATTTCTGGGTGCAGTCAGGCCTGGCCATCTGACTTGAGTGGTTCAGCGTATCGTTTTCAGCTGAGCTGCCTTCTGCCAAGCTAGCTCCGTGTGACGTTGAGAGCTTGACATGTGTCAAGTTTCTCATCAGGCAGGTCTTATGACTACCCCAAAGACAACACATAGAGAGCCTCATGCTTCTCTTGACCACCTTTCACTCCACTGTCAACACAGTTTACAGAAAGCTCCAGCCAAGCAGAGCATGGCGGCTCACACTTGTAGTCCCAGCACTTGGGAGACTGAAGCTGGACGGTCAATGCAGACTAAGGCTATAGGGAACTAGATTGTGAATTCCCAGTCACCCGGGGCCGTAGCATTTGAAACTGTCTCAAAAAAAAAAAAATTAAATAAATAGACTAAAGGAAGGAAAACGGAGAGAAACTTCTGGGTGAAAATTTGCTAAATTTTATCTAAATATACATAGTCCCTGCTTAAATCATCACGATTGTTTTGTTTGTTCATTTGGTTTTTTTTAGATTTATTTATTTTTAAAGTGTATGGGGGTGTGTCCGTGAGTGTGTGTGTGTGTGTGTGTGTGTGTGTGTGTGTGTGTGTGTGTACACTCTTGAGTGCAGGTTCTCTTGGAGGCCAAAGAGGGCATCAGTCCCCCAGGAGCAGGAGACCCCAGTTGAACTTGGGGTCTCTGTGAGAACAGTAAGCACTCTTAACTGCTGAGTCATCTGTCTAGCCCCCTTGGGTTTTAGGGGATTTGGTTTGCTTTGTTTTGTTTTGAGGCAGGGTCTCACTATGTAGCCCTGGCTGGCCTGGAATTCTCCATGTAGACCAGGCTGGCCTCAAACTGACAGAGCTCTGCCTACCCCAACCTCCTAAGTGCTGGGTTTAAAGGCATCCCTCTACAACACCTGACTCTCCTTATTTTTTAATATATATTTTTATGAATTATTTGAGAAGTGTGTACATGAATACAATAAATTTTGATCATATTTTATCACCCTCCACTCCTTTTCATAATTCCTCCCAGATCCACCCCCAATTCCCTCATAACTCTCTCTCTCTCTCTCTCTCTCTCTCTCTCTCTCTCTCTGATTTTATTTATTTGGGGCCAGGTATGGTGGCACATGCCTTTAATTTCAGCACTTGGGAGGCAGAAGCGGGTGAATCTCTGTGAGTACGAGGCCAGCCTGGTCTACATAGAGAGTTCCAGGACAGTTAGAGCTACACAGAAAGACCCTGCCTCAAAACATTATTTTTATGTGTATAGGTGTTTTGCCTGTGTGCATGTCTGTGTGCCAAATGCATTCCTGGTGTGCAAGGAAGCCAGAATAGAGCATTTGATCCGCTGAGACAGAAGTTGCAGACAGTTGTGGGCCACCTTGTGGATGCTGGGAATAGAACCTGAGTCCTCTGGAATAGTAGCCAGTGCTCTTAAGGGTTGAGTCACCTCTCCAGCCCCACCACCACCACTACCTTTTAGTGACTCTTCAATGTCTATAAAATATCTACAGGCACTTCATTTGGTATTCAGTGGTATGGCTTTACCTGAAACTTTCCCTGAAGTTTTTCCTAATAAATAGCCCCCTTGTAAATGCTAGGTTAACAGTTTCTATCATGCTTATTTTGAGCCTTTTTCTATGTTTATGTACATTCTAGAATATCTACCTCGCCTTAATAACTGGACCCTTATTCAAGTCTCCCCAAACCCCATTCCTTTGCATAGTCTTTGCTAAATTACAAGTTAAGCAAGGGCCTGGTGGCCAAGGCCTGTAATCTCATTTACTGAAGTGGCTGAACTAAGAAAGTGAGAAGTTCAAGGTTTTCCTTGACTACACTGAGTTCAAGGCCAGCCTGGGCAAGTCCCTTTTCTTGTCAGTGGGAAACAAAGACAAACACAACAGCAAAATCAACTGGAGAAGGGAAAGGTTTACTGTGGCTCATTGGAGGTGGTTTAGTTCATTCGGCATTGAGGCTGGAGCAGGAGGTGGCCGGTCACACTGACTCCCCAGTGAAGAAGCAGAGAGAGGAGCTAGGGAGGTGGCTCAGAAGTTAAGAGCACTGGCTGCTCTTCCAGAGAACCTGGGTTCAATCCCAGAACCCAGATGCTGGCTCACAACAGTCTGTAACTCCAGTTCCAGGAAATCTGATGCCTACTGGCCTCATCAGACACCAGGCATGCACTGTGAGCAACAGACATACATGAAGAAAAAACACCCATAAATAAAGTAAGTATTTTTAGGAGAAGCAAAGAAAGATTACTGCTGGTACTCACCTCACTTTCTGTTTACTAGTTCTAAGTCTCATCCCATGGCATGGTGCCACCCACACCCAGGGTAAGGCTTCCTATCTCCGCTACAGACATGCCCCAAAGTTTGTCTATTAAGTGATTCTGGGTCCTGCCAAAATGACAATCAAGATTGGTTGACGGGGGCTGGAGGGGTAGTTTACTCAGTAAGACGCTTGGCATGCGAGCATGAGGGCCTGAGTCCAGTCGAGGGAAACGGAGAAGGGCAGACCCTTGGGGCTCACTGACCAGCCAGACTACGCCAATCTGTAAGCCACAGATCCCAGAGAGAGACCCTAGCTCAAGACAAGGTGGACAGCTGCTGAGGGGTGACAGCCAAGATGAATCTCTGACCTCCACACTTTCACACACACACACACACACACACACACACACACACACACACACACACACACACACACAGGCAATCATCACAAAGAACCCATTTCAAAACAAAGCGTTAAAAATAAAAAAAAAGGCTCAGGGGTATAGTACTTGCCACCATGCATGAGACCGTAGATTAAATCCCCAAAGCTAGAATTAAGCACCCAGTATAGGCCAGGTACTGGACAAAGCACATTACATGTCATTTATTACTGCCTACATTTAGCAGCTGAGGAAGCAAACGCTTAAGAAACAGAGCACCCAGGTTGACACAGCAGAAGCGCTAAAAAGTGAACTCTGACTCCAAGTCAGGCAGCCTGATCCCGCTCTCTCATTTTTAAATACCTTCCTGTGCCCCCACCGAGCCCTGCTGCTGACAGGCTCTTACAGTGCCTTCTTCATGTGCCCCACCTCCTATTACATTATCATGCACGTGTCTGTCTCCCTTACTCTCTCCAGATGTTGAATGCATTACCGACTTGGACCCATGCATCAATTTCCATCTGTTTCGATAGCTAGGACTATGTCTGAATCTTCTGTGAAACATCACTCTAAGGGGGTGGTGGAGTCAATGTAAACATTGTGGATAAAGAATGGAACCTGCCGTGCCCACAGAGGTCTCTGAACATGAGAAGAAACTGGCCAAAACCATCCTAATATCCTTTCATCTTTGGAAAAGCGCCTGCCCGCTTGGTGTAGGTATTCAAACCACTGCCATCTCTTTATCCAGGCAGTTACTTTTCTTGTTACAATGACCAAAAACCTGACAAAGCGCAGCTTAAGAGGGAAGGGTCTGTTCTGGACTCATAGTTTGAAGGGATATAGCCATTGTGGAGGAGAAGGCATGGAGGCAGGAAGCTCCAGAGCATCAGGAGTGTACAGCTGGGACCTCGTCTCATGCTGATGGAACAGAAGCAGAGATCAACAGGAAGTGGGCTGGGATCTCATGACCCAAGGCTCACATCCAGGGCCCCTTCACTTCCTATAGCAAGAAGCCTCCTAAACAGTTCCACAACCTTATAGTGACGCCAGTGGGGACCAGTATTCCAAATCTACGAGCACATCGGGGACATTTCACCCGACTGCAGCAGCAGCCGCAGAGGACTGCGTTTCCCAACCAGCTCCTTCTTCTGAGAAAGAGGCTGCGGTGGGTGATGGCAAGGGCATTCAGAAAGCTGGAGTCGTGATGTGGTTGACCTCAGGAAGCAAGTGTGTGGCCTGAGGGAAGGCAGCTAAGCCTCAGGCCAAGGCAGAGCTGTCTAGAAACTGAGTGAGGAGAGCGAGGCTGCAAAGGAGAGGGTGAGCAGAATGACCCATCAATGGGACTTCTTACCGTGGCAATGCCAGTCAAGGTCCCGCGCCTCCCGGCTGGGTGATTTGAGGCTAGTGTAATAGAGACTCTTCTCACAAATGCGGTAGGGAGTAAGGAAGTCCTGGGCTTGGTGCTAGGTCCTGTGGTCAGTAATCATGGAAGTATTACCACCACAGGGCTGATGGGGAACCTGGTGACAGAGGCTGGAGGACAAGAGATGTGACCTTGACAGAGGGGCCATGGCTAGCCCGTGACAACCTCTTCCAAGCCTTACTCCCACTCAGTCTATTGTTAGACTCCTTATGAGCCAAGCCTAACTGAAGGCAGAAGGCAGAGAAGTTCATTGGTCCTGTCCACAGAGACCAGAGACCAAGCACAGCATAGGATGAAATAAGATAGAGGGAGGACCCCGAGGGGCAAGGGGAAGACAGCCAGGTTGGAGTAATGGTCTTGCTCTGTGACCTGTTGACAAAGTGCAGATTGCAAGAACATTCTACAGACTGGGTTTTTTCCCCTGGGAGACGCAAATGCTGAAATCCTAACCCCTAAATAACTGCTTTAGGGAAGTAAGTAGGGTTAAATGAAGTTGTAAGAGTGGGTGGGGTTTAATGCATATAAATGGTGCCCCTATATGAAGAGGAAGAGAGACTAGAGAGAAGGTTCACTGGGTAAACTGCTTACTATGTAAGCATGAGGACCTGAATTCAGATTCCCAGAACCACAGAAAAAGGCTGGATGTCTTTGTGCACATTCGTAATTTAAAAAAATAAATGACTAGATATCTCTTAAAAAGAGGAGGGGGAGAGAAGGAGACTAGGAAGAGATATCTGGGATACCTGTGCACAAAGGGCCACGTGTAGACACAGAGAGAAGGTATTACAAACCATAGTGCGAGGGTGAATTCAGGCAGATCCCCACAGTTCACTGACAAGCCAGTCTAGCCAATAGAGAACACCACGTTCAGTGAGATACCCTTTCTCAAAAGATAAGATGGAGAGTGAGCAAGAAAGACGCCCTATGTTCACCTCTTGCCTCTACACACGTGTATCCATACACACACATGCACACACACACACACACACACACACACACAAAATGAGAAAATGGAGTTACCCTATAACAGGGCAACAATGCCCTTAATAGATACCAGAAGCTAACAAATAAAAAGCCTAGTGTCAGAACATTATAGGCTATTGCCATTGCCTTTGGTTATGCTCGGGTCATAGGACATGGAGAGATCAAACTGGTACTGACCTAGAAGCTTCATCCCTACTGACTAGATTTCATCATGCTGCAAGGTGCTACACA